AAGGCAACACCGTGTGTCCTGGAAGTTCCAGAACTGGGAAGAAAGAAGAGCAGGATCACAGCCTCCCTGGGCGCTCTCGCTGGGTCTCCTTTCCATCTGTGTGCAGTAAGAGTTGGGCCAGGGGGCTCTGAGGAAGGACCTCCAGCTCTGCTCACTGCCTGGGGAAGGGGATGGAGAGGGGTGTTGGCTGGGGAGGCCTGAAGTAGTGGGCTGGGGGTGCTAGGAAGACCCCTGCCTCCCGGCCCAGGAGCGAGGGGCTGAGCAGCTCTGAGAGTGGAGTCCCATGTTTGTAAACATCATTAATCAGGGATTAGCAGATGGGCATGCTAACTGCACCTGTGGAAGCCAGAGACCTCAAGGTTGATTACATTTGCAAACTGTGGGGCCCCCTGGCACCTGGCCTTGCAGGAGGGGGGAGGGGGTCGAGTTTAGGACCCCAGCCTGGGGGAGGGTACTGGCCATTTAAGCTCCTGCCAAAAAAAGAAAAAGATGCCAGCCCTGGAGGGGGGCAGGGGTGCTGGCCACAACTGAGCTGCTCTGGGAACACCAACCTTCTGAGACCTGTCCGCTCTTGGCTGGGGGACCCTGACAGAGGAGGGTCCTGCAAATGTCATTTCAACCCCCGCCCCTCCCCCAACTCCCTCTGTTCTTGGCGGTAAACCATTGTGTATTGCAGATGAAAGGGGCCCTAGAGCCTATGGGGAAATTGAGGCCAGGTTGGTAGGAGGGCAGAGCCCAGTGCCCTGACCTCTAGGTTGGCCCCCAGGTGCTGTGAGAACACCTTGAAGTCTGAGGGCATGGGGCTGAGGGCTTTACGTGCACCACCTCATAATGATCCATACCATGATCCTCCAAGGTGGACACTACTGTCCCCATTTACAGATGAGGAAAACCAAGGCTTGGAAGTTAAAGGACATGTCCACATTTACACCACTAGCAAGTGTCAGACTTGGAACTCAAAGCAAACACTGCTGAATAGCCAAGGTCATGTTCTCAGCCACCACTGTGCTCTCCTCTGGCTGCATCCCGTCCCTGCCGCCCTTCATACCCATGGCCACAGCCACCCCAGCTCCTGGGCTTTTAGCCGCGCTTGCTGAGCTGAGCAGCCTCTATGAAGCCAGCACCAGAGGCCACGTGAAAAGAGAAGCAGGCCTCATCCTCGGCCTTAGGGCCTCAGGTGCATTTTCTTCGTCTTGGGAGTGCCTGGTTTGCATGACATAACTACACACCTGTGTGTACCTGGCAGGTAATTAGGGCCTCAGTTCCCTTTGGTCCAAGTGAACCTGTCTTCCCAGAGGACAGCCAGCCTGCTGCCCAGGGGGTGAAGCAGGGAGGAGCCGCCTGGGCCTGGCTGTTTGCCCAGGGGAGTGGCCCTCTAGGTGGCCCAGACCACTGGGAATCAGAAAGCTGATGACAGCAGGCCCAAGGCAGGTTAGATAGGGTTCCAGACACCACGGAGGAGTCCGTGGGAAGGAGGGGGCTCTGGACCCCAAGGACACCAAACCCCAACTTCTAGGTTCCATGCTGGGTTTAGTTCTAGAGAGCAGAACTAAATTCTGTACCCACACATGCAGGGGAGCACCAGGACACCTCAGTTTGTTTTCATCAGGTCTATTGGTCTGGGTTCTCCAGAGAAACAGAACCAGTAGGATATATATATATAAACATCCACATACAGATACACACTATGTATGTTATAAGGAACTGGGTCATGTGATTATAGAGGCTGACAAGCCCCAAGTTCGGCAGGGTGGGGCTAGACACTCAGAAGAGCTGATGATGTAGTCCCCATCTGAAGGCCAGCCAGCTCGAGACCCAGGAAGAGGCCATGTTTCAGTTCCAAAAAGCAGGGAGAATCCTCTTACTTGCAGAAGGGTCAGCCTTTTTGTTCTATTCGGATCTTCAACTGATTGGATAAGGCCCATCACACTGGGGAGGGCAATCTGCTTTACTCAGTCTACCAATTTAAATGCTAATCTCATCCAAACACACCATCACAGAACCACCGAGAATAATGTTTGACCAAATATCCAGTCACCCCATGGCCCAGTCAGGTTGACACATAAACTGAACCCTCACATCCAGGTTTGTATTATCATGTGTCAGTCTTGGGGTGCACAGCCCTGTAGTTTACAGAATACTTTTTATTTTTACAACCTCCCTATTGGGGAGGGGGTAGCCGGAGCAGGTGGTGATGGCACTATCCCTATTTTACAGATGAGGAGACCAAGACACCATCCGGATAGGAAGCCACAGAGTCAGGGCTGGATCCAGCATCTTCTGAAGAACCTTGGGGACAGGTGAAAGGTTGCTCGGCCCAAACTTTCAGGCATGCACTCAAAAGCATAGGTGTGAATGATGTGGAAGCAGCTGGACACCTGCGGGTGGTTTGAGAGCCAGCGATTCTCGAACTGGTTGCACGCTGGCATCAGCTGGGGAACTCTTAAGAAATGCTGGTGCCTGACACCTTCCCCAGAGATGCCAATCTAATCAGCCTGGTGCCTCTGGGCACCTGGACTATTAAATGATGCCTCCACCCACCCACTCCCTGATCCCAGGACACTAAGGCACAGCCACAGTTAAAAACCACACTAGGCTCTTGGTCAAGAGTGCAGCAGGGATATGGGAGGTGGTGCAGTACACCCAAGATGGACACGTGCCAGCAGAGGTCAGAGCCTGTGTGGCAGTCAGGGACAGAGCTCAAGGGGGGACCCGGGCAATGGAGATCTATGGCGTTTATGAAGGGATTTCTTCCTCCTTCTTGAGAGGAATAACTTTGAATTTAAAGCCATCTAAGGCATTTTTAAAACAAATTCAAATGTCTTTCTAAACTGGCATCACCATTAGAATTCCAAGATAAATCCATCCCACAGAGAAAAGGGCAGTACTACTTACCAAGCACCTATGATATGTAAGGCACTGAGTTCCTATCACCCTCTATATCCTCCCGGCCACCCAAGAAGGTACGATTATCCCCCTTTGACGGAGAAGGGGGCTGAGGCGCAGGTGGGTAATGAAATGGCCAAGGTCACACAGCATCGGGATCCGCACCTAGGGCTGCTGTCCTCCAGATCCATGCTCCAGAGCACTGGTTCTCAACCAGGAGCGATTCTGTCCCCCAGCGGACACGTGGCAGTGTCTGGAGACATTTTTGGTTGTCACAACTAGGGGGAGAAGGCTGCTACCAGCATCTGGGCCTCTGGGCAGAGGCCAGAGATGCTGCTAAACGTCCTACAGTGCATAGGACAGGCCTTCACAACAGTTACCCAGCCCAGAACGTCAGTATTGCTGAGGCTGAGAAAACTAGTGGTTCCCAGTCTGGGCTGCACATGAAACCCATCTGGGAAGCTTTAAAAATTCAGATGTTCATGTTGCACACTGACCAATTACATCAGGCTGGGAGGGGTGGGTCCCCAGTGTCACTTGTTTTTTAAAGTTTGCCAGGTGGTTCCAATGTGCAGCCAACACTGCTCTAAGTTACTTATCCTAGTGGCCTCTGCTCCACTTGTGGGACCCTGGGGGAGGAGTACCAAAGTTGTCTGGGTTGTACAATAAACAGCAATGCTGCGAGGTCCTCACCACCTCCAGGAATCAAAGGCCAAGGCTCTGGTTCGGCGGGTCCCTCCACAGAGGCAGACTGACTGATGACTCACCATGGGGGTTACTGGTGGGCCAGTAGGGCGAGAGATATTTGTTAATCGTTCCCCTGCCTCTGGGTGGGGAGGGGGGGCGGGGGGGGAGGGCCACAGCCAGGAATCTCCCCAGGTGGCTGTGAAAGCCGCCCGAATACTATGGACCAAAGAGCGAGGCTGCCACCTAATGGAGAAATCAGATATAATGGCTCACTGGTTGAGGGCCTGCTGGATACCAGGTGATGTTTTATTGGATTCTCACAACAGCCCTGTGAGAGAGGTGGAGACAAGGGCCCCGAGACACAAAAAGATGAAGCCACGTGCGCAAGGCCCCAGTAGGGCAGGGTTTGAGCCTGGATTTGCACCTGTCTGGCCCGCAAGAGAGCCCCGGGCTTCCCTCTACATTCTCACGCTGGTCCAAGAGGAAGAGGACCCCTGGACTGGGCCGCTTGATTCCCTTCTGATGTCTGAACTTCCCCTTGACTTCCAGGCAGGGCCTGGAAAGAAAGAGACCCTCTGTCCCAGCACAGCCTGGAAATTAACAAGCTGCCATCTCCAATTGCAAGTCCAAAGCCAAAACGGGAAACTGAACTTCCTCTGGTCTCCACCACAAAGCTCCCAGCCCCGGGAGAGCGGTTTATAAACATGGGCCTGGGTGCACATACTCAGGCAAGAAGGCAAGAGACCCCAGCACATTCAAGCGTGTGGATGTGTGTGCCCCCACAGCACACACACACCTCGGACGGTCCAAGTCAGCCCCCGTCTTGCCTCTCCTTTTCTCATCCCGAGGACAGTCCTGGGTGCTGAGCCACTCTGGGCACTTCAGACGAGGCCGAGGGATCTTGGGGGCCTTGAAGAGCTTGCTCTCTCTTCCCTTCCACCGGGAAACCCGTCCTCTGGCTGCAAATGGAGTGAAGAAGAATTCCTGCACAGACAGAAGGACAACGATGGAGAAGAGGAGGGACCATGTGCCAGGCACTCCCTCACCTCATCCTCAAGAGGATGTAGGTATTTTCCTCATTTGGCACATAAAGCAACAGAGACACAGAAAGACTGAGAAACTTGTTTAGGATGAACCAGCTGTACATGTGTGATTAAAGGGAGAGAAGTAAGGGGAGTGGAGACTCACCTGCAGCCACGGAGACATTTAAGGATTCGAGTCCAGGAGGCAGCTGCCGGCCGGGTCGGATGCTAAGGAGAAGCTGGCAGGAGGCCTGCACCTCCCGGGACAGACCAGAGCCCTCGTTCCCTGCAGGGTACGGGGGCCAGAGGGTTAGGGAGGCCCCAGCTGTTCACACAGGCACTCAGAAAATGCACGTCTGAGCACAGAAAAGCAGGGGCATCCACCTACCCAGCACTAGAAGAGTAGGCCGGTCCCAGAGGAACTCCAAGCAATTAGTGATGGGGATCTCAGAAGACAGGGAGATCTCAGGCCCCGGGCAGCCCACCGTGCCAGCCACGAGCCAGCCCTGCTGGGATTTGGCCTGAAACAGGGAAGAAGAAATCATGCTCGCTCACCAAACCTTCATCAGAGCCCCGGCCTTGCCCATATATTCATTCCCTCGCTGAGCCACTAGATTCAGTCAGTAGTTATTAAGCACCTAGAACGGGCAGGTTCTGTTCTAGGCACTCGCATAAGGAAATGAACAAAACAGGCCCAAATCCCATCCTCGTAGAAGGGTGGTCAGGGAAGGCCTCACTGAAGTGACGTTTGAATGCAGACCTGAAGGAGGTGAGGGAGCACCACGTAGACATCTGGGGGAGGAATATTCTAGGCAGAGATCAGTAAGTGCAAAGGCCCAGAGGCGGGTGCTTACCTGGCATGCATGAGGAACAGCAGAACAAGGTGGCCAGTGGAAAGGGAGCCACTGAGACAGGAGAGGAAACAAAGGGCCATGTGAGGTAGGACCTCAAAAGCCACTGGAAGGCCTTTGGCTTTTACTCTGAGAGATGCAAAGGCTTTGAAAGTTTTTTGAGCAGAGAACTAGTGACATGGTCTGGCTTATGTCTCTACAGAATCACTCTGCCTATGTTGAGAGCCACTAGCAGAAACAAGCAGACCAGTTAGGTTTCTGCAATGATACATGCTAGAGATGATGGTGGCTTGGACCAGAGTGGTAACAGTGGAGATGGTGAGAAATGGTGAGAATGTGGAAATAACATCAAGGTAAAAACAAAAGGATATGCCAACAGGTGGGACATGGTGAGAGTAGGAAGAATCAAGGAGGGTGCCAAGGTTTTGGGGCGTAAACAACCGAAGGCATGGAGGAGTTGCCATCAACTGAGCTGGGTAAGTCTGCAAAAGGAACAGGAACAACATTTGGAAATCTTGTTTGAAATGACCATAAGACAGAAAAAAAGAGCTGTTGAGCAGGCAACTACATATGTAAATCTGAGGTTCAGGAGCAAGATCCAGGAGGGATCCAAGTTTGGGAGGCATTCGAATATAGATGGCATTTAAAGCCATCAGATTGGATGCGGCCAACAAGAAATGAATATATACAGAAAAGAGATCCAAGGGCTGTGACTTGGGAGCCCTGGGAGAGGATGGTCAGGGAAGCTGCTAAATACAGGGCAGTACTGCCCCCTTGTGTCCAGCAAGGGAAGCACAGCTGAAGAAAAATGTGTATGGACCAGGAGAGGGGTTTTATTAATACTTAGGTTTGCCCCTTCCTTCTTAGGTATCGAAGTGGTTTTTTTGGTGGTGGTGGTGGTTTTGAGGGTTTCTTTTGTTGCTTTGTTTCTTCGCTTGTGGGAGGGACGAGGGGAAAGGCATAGACTAGTCCCTGTTCAGGTTGCCTTTCAAGCCGCGCCCCTCCTGGAGGAACCAGGAGCCATCTGTTCCTCACAGCTGAGCATTTACTGAATACCTGCTTACTGGGCAGTGAGGCACTGCGTAAACCCGCAGGAGGCGCAAAGATGTACGCCTCGGAAGGGAGTGCAGTAAAAGTCCCTAACATCAGATTCTGCTCCGTGCGTGTGTGCTTTCCTTTTTTTTGGCCGCGCCGCGGGGCGTGTGGGATCTTAGACTCCGACCGCGGATGGAACCCGCCCCCCCTGAATTTGAAGCGCGGAGTCTTAACCACTGGACTGCCAGGGAAGTCCTACCATGTGTGGTTTTTAAAACTCCGGATCTTTCTCTTCCTAAAGGGATTTAGAAGGATGTAGGAAGCGATACAAACACGCCCTCTTCTCTCCCTTTCGTCCATCAGCTGCTAGCTGGGGGCCCTTGGAGAGACTTAACTTGGCTCATTTCTTCTCCTTTACTGACACCCCGCCTCCCCTCCTTCTCCGCGCCATTACCTGTAAAAAACCGGCCAGGTCATCAGTGGAGAACACGTCCATCACCTCCATAGCCCCGGCGCTGGCCTTGCTGACTACAGGACTGAGCGGGCAGCTGCAAGGTTTCCCCATGCCACCGTATGAGGCTGGGTGATCTCAAGCCCGGTGCCGTGCCCTCCCCCCAGCCCCCAAGAGTTAGGGGTGAGAATTTTGGCGTTGGGGAGGCCTGGCTGAGGGACCACCCAAGGGTCAAGGTGCTTAGGAACTCGGCTGCGCCTCCAAATTGGGGCACACGGGGAATAAGGGGAGGCCATGCCTGTTTCTCCGGCTGGTGATGACTTTATCCACTCCGAGAAAGTGAGCGGAGCGCAGCACGGCCCCAAGATTCCGGGGATCCTGTAGCCCCTCGAGGACAAGCCACAGCTGCTGGGGGTCGTCTCCTGGCCGAGCCTCCCCGGCCTCAGCCCAGGGCCGGGGCCGCAGCGGGCTCACTTCCATGCAGACGCCCTGGTGGACCTGGTAGCGGCACAGGACGTCCAGCTTCCGCCGACTGGGCCGCAGAACAGGGATGTCCCGCGCCTCAGCCGCGCGCAGCAGCTCGGCCCGCTCCCCCTGCAGCCTGGACCTACCGGCCTGGAGCAGGAGCCGGGCCACGCGGCGGCGGGCGGCCCGCAGAGCCAGGAGACACGGGGACAAGCCAAACAGAAGCTCCAGCCCCCCGGCCGGCCGCGGAGTCGGCGCCAGGTCATCCAGGAGCAGGCGGCTTAGCTCCTCCCCGCCGGGCCGCTCCCCACGCCCCAACGCTTGGGAGAAACGACGCGTGAGGAGGCGACCGCAGCAATGCCAGGTCGCGCCCCCGACGGCCGAGAGCAGTGCCATGGTCGATGCCCCAGCTGCGTCCTCAGGAGTGGTCAACCCCGCCGGGGCGCGCTCTCAGGCCCCGAAAGCGGGTGAAGGGGACCCGAAGGCTGCTCCCGGCCCACCCCCTCAGATACAGGAAAGGCCAGGATTCCCAGTCGTGTGCTGGCCAGAACCCGGCCGCGGAACTTAGACAGGCCCCTCCCGGCCCCGACGTGAGCCGCTCCGCTTCCGCGTTCGGACGGCCCCGCCCCCGGCCTGGAGCCGCACGGCACATGCCCACAGCGCCCCCTGCAGGGCCGGCTGAGCGACGACTTCCACCGCCCAGTCATTGGCCCGAGGGGTGCTCGCCGGGGAGCTGACCCTACTGTGGGCTGCGTTCTGTACCCTTCAAGGTCCCAGGAGGCTGGAGGACCTCATTTACCCTGGTTCCAGCAAAGGACACTTTAAGGGGATGTATTGGCTTTCCTATTCAACCTGGTTAGTCGTGGTGACTCCCTCCCCACATCCGGTCCTCCACGGGGCGCTGGTGACTTTCCTCAGAAGATTCTCCCACATCCAGCCCCTCCTCTACACCTCCATTGCCTGTCAAACCATCGGCACCAGTCAGCAGGACCCCACCAATAACTTCCTGTGCCATGGTGCTGATTCTCTAAGTGACAGCTCTGTGCCTGACCTGCACCTGCTGACAAACCAACCGATGCCCTTGGCCCACAGGTAATGGCCAGACTCCTTGCTCAGCACTCAGACCTCCGGGGGATCCAGGCAAGGAGCTACCTTTTCAACCCCACCTCACTCCTGCACTAAGTTCTGTGCTGTTCCCACAACACTGCATGCTCTTCCGGGCCTCCCCGCCTTGCAAGCCCTGTTGTCTTCTTTTCTGGCAGGCAAACTCCTACCCATTTTCAGGACCCAGCTCAAAGGTAATCCACACTCCACGAGTGATGCCCCCAATCCATCCACCTTCCCACTCTCCTGGAAGAAACTCTGAGACACAACCATTCCTGATCACAGCAAGGGGGAAGACCTGAAAGACACTTCTGAAGCCAAGGCAGGTTGTCGTAGTTTTTCTTTTTTAATGATCACAGTGAAACCACATGGGAGGCAGGCCCTGGTACTCTGCTGCCATAGAGTGGAGTGAGGACCCCACCGGAGGCTGAGAAGCCACAGTGGAGCTGGAGAACTGGGACGGGGAATAGATGGGGTGGGGGGTGGGATGCAGGGAAAGGAGGAAGCCCAGAGCCCCGAAAGCCATTCAGACGGAAGGTGAGGGCTTCCCTCTGCCGCCTCATCCTGAAGGGACGGGGGTGGGGTGCAAGAAGATAGGGGAAAGCCCCACTTTTGGCCACAGCCCCTTTCCCAGGTCAAAGGGAAGAGACCAAGGACAGCAAACAAAGGCCAAGGAGCCCAAGAAGGAGACCAAGAATGAATCAGTAGGGAAAATAATCAGGGACACCACCTCCTCTCCCCTGCCCATTTTTCAAATTTGGTGGAAACAATTTGACAAGATTATATGAAATCTCAAACAAGTTTTCTAGCCCCTGCTGGGGGTGGGGAAAGGAAGTGGAATCCAAGGGTCCAGAAATCAACACCCCAAATCCAGAGGCAGGTGCCAAGCCTTGAGGGGCAGGGAGGGAAGGAGGAGCTCCCCACAGGAAACTAGGTCACCTGCTCCGTGGGCCTCATCTGGATGTCTCCGATCTGCAGAAGGCACAAGGCTTGAGGCAGGCAGCCAGGACCCTCTCCCCACCCCCTTAAAGCCTCCCTGCTCTTCTCCTCTGGGGACGGTCGAGCTCCTCCGGGGGATGGACATCCAAGGCCAGACTCACCTGGACATGTGGCGGGGTGCTGAGGACATAGATGACAGCCTTGGCCACATCCTCAGGTTTGAGACACTGAGAGCACCAGGGGAAAGGGGTGAGATGAGGGCAGGATGGATCCAAGTCCCCTCCCACCACTGAGGTCCTCTCCAGCACCGCCATTCCCACCCCCACCCTGCAGGAGGGGCGACAGGCTGGCTAGAACGGCGAGGTCTAAAGGCCAGGGTTCCCTCTGCCTTCATTTAGGAAGTGAATGGCTTCACTGGGCCCCACCTTCATGTGTTCATAGGTGGCAGCTGCCTTCTCAGGGTCCTTGTCATGGAGTTTGAAGGCGAATTGTGTCTCCACCACTCCTGGAGAGATGCACTGGGCCAACAGAGACAGCCTGCTCAGGAGCTGAGCCCCAGGCCTTGGGGAGGTTGCAGAGAAAGGATGGAAGCCAAAGGGCCCCAGCTTCACAGTGATGGCTGCCCGATGTCCAGCAGCCACCTCCTCCCTCCAAAGCTGCCACTGGGGATTATCAGAATGATTCCTACCAGCTACAGAGCCATTCCTATAAGCCAGGTCAGTTTTACAAAGTGGTGTCCCTTAAAACCTCATAACCTGAGACGTATTATCATCTCCATTTTACAGATGAGAAGACTGAGGTTTGGGGAGGTTGAGCGAGTCACCCAAGGTCATACAGCCTTCAAGGGAAGAGCCCAGAGTCCCACTTTGCAGCCGTGGTTTCCCACAATCCCTTGCTTTCCCTCAGTCTCACCCCACCATGTTCCCTTCAGGTCACCCGCCTCCCACCTCAAAGTCTGAGAAATGCGGGAACTCAGGTACTCAGCAGGGCCATGCAAGTAGCAGCAGAGCCCAGCAGATGCGGGCCCAGTACAGACCCGGGAGCTCTAAGCAGTACAGCCAGGACATGGGCCCCCGGGCCGCGAGTGTGTGGGGTGAGCGGGCCTGTGCCTCTCAACCCCCACCAGGGTCAGGCCACCCCTCACCGTGGCTCGGATGTGGGTCTGGGCCTCCCGAAGCTCTTGCCTCAGCCCCTCTGTCAGCGCAGTGACGGCGTACTTGGTAGCACTGTAGAAATGGGCCACGGACTGGGGTGGCACTTGGTGGCCAGACATGCTGGGTGGAAGGAAGGAAGGGGAAAGGAGAGAGTGAAGCAGTGCCCCCTGCTGTACCAGCCAACCCCACCCCCTGGACGCCTTCTAAACGGGACCTCCAGAGGCCATCCTCAGGGCCACTGGCCCAGCTTCTGTAATTCAAGCAGCGTCTGTGAGTCCCACTCTTCCTAGAAGTCCTCCCTACACCGACCACAGCATTCACTCTCCAGTCCACGCAGGTTGTCAAAACTCTCTCGATTTCATCTGTGTGTTCTCTGATGTGGTTCTATTGGGAGATCTGTGGGACAGAGGCCACGTCTCCGGGGGCTCCCCAGTGACAGAGACTGTGCAGTCTTTGTGCCACGAGGTGAGGTTCATGCTGCGGCCTGAGGAATGGAGAACCTCAGTCCCAGGAGAGCCCCCAGGCTTCAGCTGCAAAGGGGCTGAGCTACCCCTTCCAGCCAGCTAGGGGCTGGCATTTGACACATACTATTCTTCCCCTCACCACAGTCGTGCCATTTGCATATTAACTGGGTGTTAAATCCCTGTTTTACCACCCAGGAAACTGATGTCCAAAGAGGTCAAATGAGCCGCAGCAGATCACCCAGCTTGGAGGGTGCGTGGTGATCCGAAGTCTAGCCCTCAGCCGCTGGCCGCACCTGTTGATGTTGATGGTGTGCCCGTCATCCACCTTCCGCTCCCTCATGGACTGGGAGGCTCCCCGTGGGCAGATGCTGAGGGCCAGCACGTTCACCCGCAGGCCAGAGGGGCAATGGGGTGTCTCCAGCTTGGGCCCCTCTGAGCAGGTGATGGAGCCACAGAGCACCCTGCGGTTGGGGGGGGGGGCCGGTGGCATCCAAAACAGAGTCCAGATCCTACCAGAGACCAATGAAGGGGACAGGGCACCTGGCTTTAGGTTCCTCCCCCTCAAGTCACCAGCCCCAGCTGACAGCAGAGGAAGCGCCTCTCCCTGGACGACGCCCCCCAAACGCACCCACGACCCAGGAACCCTCCCTGTCTTGGCCGTCTCCTGTGCAAACAGCAGGACCTCTACCTTAGGGAATCATCTCCTTTCTTCTCCAAATGCCCTACTCTTCACTGGCTCGCCTCTCTCCTAAACAGCCTAAAATCCATCCAAAAAAGACTTTAAAAATCTTTCTCCTCAGGACAGATCTTAGCCTCTCCCCACCTTACCCACTAGTCTCTGTGCCTTTCCTGTCCCTCCCTTGAGACTACAGTGGAGAGGAGAGGGCCTGATCCTCCTTCATTCCACGCCTTCCTTTAACCTCTGTTCCACCTGTAAGACTAGGCAGAGACTCTTCAGAGCGTGGGGTAACTTGTCACAGGATGGCAAGGGACGTCCCAAGGGCATGGGGGCTTCCTGCCTTCCTTGGCCCCCTCCCACTCCTGCTCTTCTGGCAGAGGTGACCCCAGATCCCCGCCCTTCCTGGAGCAGAGGCCTGAAGAAGTGTCGCTGCTCTAAAGCTCCTGCCCAGCCCCACCCCTTTAGCCTCACCCACGAGGACAAGCGGCGATAAAGCTTTCAGCAGGTCTTCGCTCTCTCCTCTGGGGAAGAGAGGAGATCAGCCGGAAGATTAGATGTTTCTCTTTATCGGGTGTCAGAGCCAGGCATCAGGACAAATACTTCGGTGTAAACCTGCCCCAGCATTCACGGCAGGACATAAGAGGTTTCCAGCCCTGCTTCTGGTCCTCTTAACAATGTGGGTTTCTGGGGCAGAGAACTGAGCTCCTGAGGGCGGATGGATGGAGTAAGAGAAACAGATCCCCTTGGGCCAGGGGAGTGGATTCTCCTAGGTACAGGGGTCAGGGGTTCCCTGTGTGTTCAATGATGTGGTTCTATTGGGAGATGCCTCATAAGACGATCCTAAGAGAATTACATAGTGTTCAAGCTGAAAGGGGTCTCAGGGATTTAATATACGTGCCTCACTTTACAGATGGGTAAGCTGAGGCCCAGGTTTAAAGACTCCCTTACTGCAGGTGACGACCACAACTCGGATCTCCCAGAAGGCTCTCTGAGGGCAAAGGCAGTGCTTCATCTCCCGTTTATTGTTTCAACTTCCATTGCATATTTCTGGGCCCAAGCACCTGTTAGGTGCTAAATCTATTGTGAGCACATGTGAAAAGGATTGTGAGGGGAAAGAAGCATCCCATTTACACAACGCTTTCAACTTCTCAGAATATTTTCATACCCCAATATTGCCTCACGATACAGTTTAGAAGTTGAAAACCCATGTCCTGAAGGCTGTGTTTGGTCCACACATGGTTTTGAAACATTTTAAAATTCACTTCCAATATGTATTGGAAGGTTTCATATATTCAAAAATTATCTGTGGAGTGTTTGCAGGCTGAGGCTATGACAGAGAGTAAAATAGACAAACCTCCTTGCCCTCCTGGAGCTGAGGTTTTGGTGAATGGGAGGAGTGAGGTTCCACGTGAAAACCTAGGTCCCCTCTGCTCTCAGAGAAGTCACAGGGTCTGCCCGCACTGCCCAGACTGCAGCGCAGCCACCCCCAGACATCCATGTGCTTTCCCATATGACCCGCCTCCCTCCTTTACAGTACCTACCCAGCCCCAGGGGACCCTGGAGTTCGTGACCCCAGATATCGATGGTCTAGGTGTGTTTCATCCCAATTAAATGTGACAAGACTGAAGCTCAGACAGCGTAACTACCTGCCTGAAGCCACGTAGTTACTGGCGGGGCTGTGAGGTCATCAGCTTCATCTCCTGTCTCTCAGTCCCTTTTCTTCCCATAAGACCACGGTCCCAAGCACTCAGCACAGTGCTGACACTTGGGGACGTTCAACCGAGCTGTTCTCTCCCCTATCCGTATCTCTTCCAATAGAAAGAAATCAGCCTAGACTTTAAGAACTGCCCCCAGGGGCTCAAAGGAAAGAAGAATGAAAAAGACATGGCCATTCATCCACTCTCTCTCCTTCAGGGGAGGAGAAGCAGGGGAGAGTGCCCCAGGTAGGAAACTGAAGGCCCCTCTCAGTAGATGTCTATCCCCAGCAGCCCCCTGGCTCCTGGCTCCCCGCTCTTCTCCCAGCCTCTCCCCCGTCCCTGTCATCCCCAGCCACAGGCCTGCAGCCCTTACATTGAACATGTCCTTCCAACCGCTGGTGCTGCCTGAGAGCAGGGTGTCAGGCCGGGCCAAGCCAGCGTTGTTGATACAGATGTCCACACCACTGTGCTGAGAGCGGACCGCCGAGAACATGGAGAGGATGTCCTCCTCATTTGACAGGTCACATCTGTAGGGCGTCAAAGTCCCGGGGTAGCCTGCACTCTTACATTCGGCAGCCAGCTCCTATGAAACCCAACAGGGGTCTAACTGAGGTAGCCGCTCACTCCACGCCTCCCCACCCAGAGATAACCTCCCACCGGTGTCACTGCTCACAGAACTCTCGCCTTTGGTGGCCAACTTGCAGCCACAGAGATGTTGGGACTGCCCATCCCCAAAGCGTGTCCTCTTTGGTCAAAGTCCCGGGGGTGGGGGGTGGTGAGAGCACTCCCTGAGGGAGGGAGGGGAGGCTGAGACCATCCATGGAGGAACCTGAGGGATAAACTCGAGTCTTCAGGTCTAAAAGGGGAGAAGGGCTGAGGCTGTGTGTCAGGCAAGGGGCCCAGGGATCCTGGGAATGGAGTGATATCTCTTTTCTGACTCCCAATAGGAACACACCTCCGCTCGTAGGGGAGATGCAAGCCTCCCCCAACCCCCTGCTGCTTCTGCCGGTGCCAAGAGTCACTGAGCTGGTTACACCAGGGCCTCGATTCTCTTCTCTCCCTTCACTCCATCCAGTCCCTCCCAGAAGGGCTTATATCTAAACTATCGCCCGCCCTCCACAAACTGCAGCCAGTTGGCTCAGAGTCCTCACACGTACTTTTCAGTTGAGCCCAACTGCCAGTCTCCCCTCACTCCGTCTATAGAAAGGGTCAGGAAGTCGGGACGGATTCTTTCTCTCTGACCCACGGTGCACCACCCTCCACCCCAAAGTTTCTCTGGATACTATGAGCCAAGCCAGGTGGCAGGTGACATTGGGTACCCCTGTGCATTGCCAGGGTCCTCAAGACACTGAGGATCCCTGAGAGAGAAAGATCTGAGAAAGACGGGCCATTGAGAGATGGCTACGAGGGAAGCTGCCATTCAGAATCAGGAAGAAAACAAGCTATGTGGTAGCCTTGGAGGCCAGTGACCGGGCACCCGAGCCTTGTGAAGGTGAATATGTACATGTGTGGGAGGGAGAGGGTTGGCGGGTGCAGGGTGCCCTAGAGGAAGGCCGGCTTGGCCAGCCGCCCTGGAACACCTTCCTTCTCCCAGACCAAGCTGAGAGTAAAGGGCCGGGTCAGGTGACCTAGGAAATTCTTTTCTGCTTTAACTTTCCAAGAGCTTAAGAGGTACAGTCCTCAGGGACCCAGAAGTCCCCTTTCACCTGATTTCACCTACTCACGACCACCTCAGGAAATAGGGCTTCTCGCTGTAGGAGGCCAGAGCTCAAATTTTGTTTTAGTATCGATGAATGAGTGAATCAACCAATCCATAGAAGCAGACCGTGGCCAAAGAAGCCTGGAATTCTCCCCTCCCCTGGCATTCAACTTCTCCCTTCCTCCTCCGGACTCAAAGCCCTGCAGGAAAGCCAGAATGGAGGGACTCCCTGTCACTGCCTTCTATGCTCTACCTGTCCTCATCTATCCTCAAAAATGACCCGAAATCATGTCAGTCCCGTCACAGCAGAACCATCCTTCCCTCATTAAAGGAGATACCCTGGGGCTGAGTGATCAGCCTGGGGATCTCCTTTGGGCTCAGGGACCCCTTTCCTGGCTGGTTTGGGGTCGGGGGGTGGTAGGAAGAGAAGGCAAGAGTGGCTTTAGAATTAGGGAATCAAGTGGTCTAATCCCTGGTCTGATCCTCTAGGCTCCAAAGTGTGGGCTGGGCCCTGAGCGCCTCAGGAAAGGAGAAAGGGAGGGGCAGAGTGGGGCAACAGTATAGCTAGGTGACCTTGGGACTATCTAGGAGGCTATAAAGTGCACCTTTGGTCAGCAGCAGGGCGGCGGGGGGGGGGGGACCGGGGGGGAACCGTCCTCCTTCCGGTACACCTTCCCGCTCTGCCCCCACCCAAGGCCTCCTCACCCTCTCCCAGCCCAGGGACTTTGAGCAAGGGTGGAGAGAAAGCTAAGCACTAGCTCAATCCCTGAGAGGAGTCTTGCCAGGGGCAAATCCAAAGTGATCCTATGATGGAAATTGCTTGTATTCTTCCTCCCTGCTCCAACATAGCCAACTTCATTTCAGTTTTCTCTGAGCTCTTATCGCTCACAACTCTTGGGGCTCCCAACCCATGTTAAGAGAAAAACCAGGAGGTTCAGTTCCACAATGCTTTGTCCCCCAGGGCTCACATGTTCAATGCCCCATTTCACCTAGTCAGTCCCACCTGGGACAGTGAGATTGCAGAAAGGTCTACCTATATATCCCATTTGTCCCTTATGTCCATCGGGTAGGAGCTAACCCTCACATTTCGGGGGAAGATGGAGCTGAGCCTCTTCGGAAAAGTTCCACTCCCACCCCAACCCCACTCGCAGTCCTGGGTGAAAATGATCATGATCAAAACCTGCTCACTTTGCTTGGCTTTGTGGGCTAGGTCTGGGGACCAGAGGAAGCAATCCAGTAGCCAACTTAGCCACTGAGGCGGGAAAGCTTTCTTTCCTTCTCCCTGGCTTAGCCCCTGATCTCTGGCTTCTCCCTTCCTCAGCCAACCCGGGCATGCAGGTCGGAGAGAAGGAGAAAGATGCCAGTGAGTCAGAGATTTGGTGACTGGAGTAGAGGCTGTCAGGAGAAAAGGCTCCTTAAAAGACTGGACTTTGAAAAGCGAAGGTGGAGTCCTGCCCTGAGGGGTCCAAAAGCACCTAGGTCCCCTCCACCTAGGCATCCGTCTCTCTTGCCCCTGAGCCTGCTGCAAGTGACCCTGGGGTGGCGGGCAAGTGAGGGCAGCGTGACAGCTTGGCTCCGACCACTCCCCATCCCCCACCTGGACCCTAGCGCGGCCTAAACGACGCCACCCAGAGCGACCCTTTCCCCAGCAGGGCCTTACCTCGATGTTGCTCACGGTGCGGGCACGACCCACCACCTTCAGTCCCTGCTGGACCAGGGCTCGGGCCACGGCCGCGCCGACGCCCCCCGAGGCTCCCGTCACCAGTGCCAGCCGGTCACGCCACCGCTCCATGCCGGCCCTGGCCAGGGTCCCGAGCCGCCCGCCCACTTCGCTTGGGGAGCAGAGCACTTGGATCGCAGAGCTCCGCCCCGGGTCGTAGGGACCCGGCCACTCTCTTGTCACCACCGCGGAAACCGCCCCCGACCTGCCCCAGTCAGAGCTGCGCCTGGACCTGCCTCCACTCTGGCCTGCCTCCGCCCCCGGCTCCACCCTCCGCTGCTCCGCAAATGGCCACATCCCGCCGGAGGACCAACAGCGGCCTGGCCACCCCGCCCCCTGCGCGTGCATTGAGGGCACGACCCCGCCCCCTCCGGCCCCGCCGGGAGGAAACCGCTCTTCGCGGGACAGGGCCGGAGGGTGCTGGGAGCTCGCGGTCCTGCTTTCCTGGTGAGCTCCCACCCTCCGGAGAGGAAAACGAAGTTTCGCGGGGGCTTGCACCAGGCCCGAGAACGCACGTACTTCTGCCTCCTGCTCGGTCTGCCTTCCCTGTTCCTGACCCCTAAGGCCAGGAAGAGAAATTAAGGGCACTTAAGGTGACTCCAACGCCTTCCTAAACCAGCCGGTGGCTGATGGGAAGGATTCAGCTCAGAAAGGGCTGAGTGTCTCAGCTATCAACGCTGGGTGACCTTGGGAGGGGCTTTCAACGCTACCTGACCCCTTGGCCTTACTAACCACGGAGAACTGATGGTTAAAAATGCAAAGACCCCCAAGTACACGGGTATTGGGGGGGTTGTGTCCCTAATGGCCTACAGTCTACAACTTTCCTAAACCTTCCCACTCCCACTGGAGCAAATGTATCACGGTGTATGTAAGAGATTAAAGCAATAGCTAACATTTATTGAGCGCTTACTGTGTGACAGGCACTTTTATAAGCACTTTAAATATATTAATATGCCCAAGAGCCATATGAGATAGTACCTATTAACACTTTCATTTTATAGACTATACTGAGACAAATGTGAAGCCTGGCTTGGATGGCAAGCAGTCCAGTATTAGGCCAGGGGATGTGCTCCTTAACTGCCTTCACTCCACTCTCCTTTGTCTCTTCTTAGGTTGTTGGTTCTGTCCAAAGTAGAACTCACTTTTCTGACCACTAAGGATATTCCATCAAAGCATGAAAACTGCCTCACTTCTGCATTCTTTATATAGCCATCCTTCCAAAGAGAAAACATCTCTTCATAACTACTGGAATCCTGTTACTGCAAGCAATGGAATAATCAGTGAACGTGGCTGGTTTATTCATTCAACAAGCACTCCTGTGTTTGGCCCCAGAGGCAAAGATTAAAACAAAATAAAACTAGCCCTTGCTTAATTTAGGGATCTCAAGAGAACCTGACTGCGACAGGGTGGTGGAGAGGGGTTTGGGCTCAGAGCCAAGGGCTGTGGGAGACCCTTAGTCACTTTTTATGGATTCCAGGATGAAAGCAAACACGAGTCAGAAAGGAATGACTCACTTTATCTGCCCCAATCCCTATACAACACTGATTTGAAAAGACAACTCAGGGGTGGATCAAAAAAACGCCACCAACTACAAAAGTTCAATCTCACTAAGCGTCTGCTGTTGCCCACTTGAAATCTGATTAGCAGTCTGATTAAGTGGTAGAAAGCCTGTAAAATTCACTCCATCCCCACCGCACAGAGGTACTGACCGTCCCACTATTTGTCTGCTGCCCACCAAGTATCAACCTGTAGACACAAAACTCTAAGCACATGAGTTTACTGAATTATTGACTCAACCTTTTAAATGGCAGCCAAATGCTACTCCTAGGGGAATCTCTCCTTCTTTAGTACTCAGACAGCTTGTGAAAGCAGTAAACTGTAATGCCATAGTGACCTTATTGTTGGAAACCAGATAAGGAACAGGCACTTATACAGACTGCAGTGTGGTTAGCCCTCAGTGCAGCCTTCTGCTCTCAGTTCTCTACATGCTGAGCAATTACTTATCAGCAAACCTTTGGTTGAAATTCTGCCAAGTTTTGTTCTCATTCTTCTAGTTCAATATGAACCTCTGAATTTAAGGTGCTTTGTGTTATGTATCAGGGAACTTTATTAATAACAGCAATTAAAAGTCTCATGAGGAAGTAAGATGCTAGCCAGTATTTAAAGGTATCGCAGCAAACTTATTCTTTCAAAACAGAAGCCTGGAAACTGCTTTTCTCCGTTGTCAACTCTGATGAAGGGAAGAATTTGTCTTCAGCAATCTGTATCTCTCTCCTCATTTGCTCCTCATCCTCTCTAACATCAACACTGGCCAAGTACCAAGACCACAGGTGGCAAATTAAAATACTGCCACACATTAAGCAGAAACATGTACACCAAATTTTACTATGCGTATTAATAAATATTCTTTATTTTAAATTTTGCACATTGCGCTTTAACATTACATCCAAACATTTCGCAAGTGGATGTCTACTTTGTAAAACCATATATTCAGCTCATTGTCATTTCTGTACAGAAGTATAAGTACAACATTACTTTTTGCCACTAAGTTGCTTTTTAGTAAGTCTCACAGGAAGAGAAACATTTAATGAAAAGGGATGGCTTAAATCATACGGCAGGCCTGCGCAGCCACACAACTAAAGACACAAGCCTGAAGAAAGAACAAACTAAGGAGGTTACCTCCACCGTCTCCCAAAACAAGAAAGAATCACATTGATTTAAGATAAAATTCTGCCATAAGTCACTAAGAGTTTTTTTTGAAAGAGAAGGCGCAGTAGTCATCTTGAGTGTTTCAATGAAAGACAGAGCTATTTTATTTATTTAATTTGCTCCAGCTGTTGTCAACCAACCACTACAAATGGGGCTCTTGTGATCATTTAAGCGGCAGTATTTATTAAATTTCTCCTTCAGATGCTGTCGGTATTGTTCTCTATTGCTGTAGAAAGACTGGTTATTAGCCATAAATGACTGTATTTCATCTTGTGAGATAAAGATTTCCTCATCTGAAGTACATTCAGACTCATCCTGCAAATTAAAGCAGTAGTTAAGACTATGACTTAAATTAAGAATGCAAAATGCTATGGTGATGGAGGACAGAGAAAAATTAAAGCAGTCTAACCTTTAGTTTAATTGGAATGCTTACAGGATAAGCATAATGTCATTCTGTCTTAGAAAGTACTAAGTAAGAATAAAAGGCAACTCAACTTGGTTTAAAACTCTGGATCTGTAATTTGTCCTAGAAGCCTACAAGCAGACTCCCAACACACTTCAGCCTTCAAAAGTGATTAGGGATGGTTACAAATAGCTACCAAACTTTAAATAACCTGACTTATCTCTGGCTGGTTCTATGTTGAAACTTTTATCTCTACACATTAAGTAAAATATAACCTTTTTTAAACTCATGAAATACATAGCATCACCATTAAACTTTACAACCATATAAAAAAGAAAAAACCTAATATTCTAAAGGATTTGGTTCCCTTGGGATCCCATAATGACTACAGAAAAGATACCACCCTTCTCCCTCTTTGCCCCTCCTCCAAGTCCCACACAAACTATGCACTGGGTCACTTGCAATCAGGTATAATTCATCTAAAGTATCAAGAACTGGAGTCAGTAATAAAAGATTTTCCAGGTTCAGTTATATGCTTTTATCCTACATGACACCTAAAGGAAGTAGCCTAGAAAGTGGGCTCTAGTTCAGATTCTATATTCTTTCCTGGTCTGGAAGGGTAGCTACCATAAATTGCCACTCAGAAAGGCAGTTTGCTTATAATAACCCTCGTCAAGGAGTCAGACTCCTGGACATAATGCTAACTCTATCCCCGTCTCCCAAGTAATCTTTTCTACCTCTGAGACAAAGGAAGACGAGGAGATGTGCTCCAGAGTAGTTAAGTGGTAGAGCAGGAATGAAGTCACCAAAAAATAATGAAATACTGCCCTTAACTGCTTAAAAGCCTCCTGCCATTCCCAACATTAAACCCTCAAATACGTTCCCTCCCACATCTACCCCGTGAACAATCAGTTATCCACAAAAAGATAATCATGGCTTACTTACAAGGAGTTCAACTAAGCTCTTGGCACCTTTTCCGGAATCAGGACCAAACGACGTTTCTGTATGTTCTGCAAACTGTGGTACATTTTTCCTATGCTCAAACCAAGGCAGTGGCTGCCCACCCTTTTCAGAGGTGCAACAGCTTTCAGGATGTGTATCTTTGGTCTTGTCACGGTGAAACACTGTGTGCACGGTATTTCCTGAGGCCTCTCGATTACCTGGATCTGTAATACAGCTTCCAAGCTTTTGGATCTGAAACCACAGAAAAAGGACTTCTCAGGTAACAAGGCAGGGAATAATAGCAATTACTATTTTTTAAAGAAAAAAAGTACCCTGAGAGTGTGTTAAGATTTTAGCAGGAACACTGAATAACAGCAACAGCTGGCAGTTACTAGGCATTTACTGCACACCAAACACTATGCTAACCCACCAATATAATTTCACTTCATCTTCACAGAGCCTAATCTCACAGGGACTATTATCTACATTTCACAGATGGGAAAACAGATCAGGCAAACTGCTCAAGATTACAGAGCTAAGGGGCTTCCCTGATGGCGCAGTGGTTAAGAATCCGCCTGCCAGTGCAGGGACACGGGTTTGAGCCCTGCTCTGGGAAGATCCCACATGCCACGGGGCAACTAAGACCGTGTGCCACAACTACTGAGCCTGTGCTCTAGAGCCCGTGAACCACAGCTACCGAAGCCCACGCACGCAGACCCCATGGTCAGCAACAAAGAGAAGCCACCACAATGAGAAGCCCGCGCAGTGCAACAAGGAGTAGCCCCCGCTCACTGCAACTAGAGAAAGCCCGCGCATAGCAACAAAGAGCCAATGCAGCCAAAAATAAATAAATAAATTTTTAAAAAAAGATTACAGAGCTAAAAGATTAAAAACTATTATGAAAAGAATGAATTGGATTTATGACTCACATCGACTGTTGGACAAATGACCACATCAGACATACACATGCATATAAATTCACAAGATGAGCAACCAATGGAACTGCATAGGTACTCATTCTTAAAAAAAATCCTAGCAGCTAAGCTGCACACTTTCCACTCCAAGGAAAAGAACAAAGGTTTAAGGATTCCAGGTTATGACACTTACATGTTCATCACATTTCAACATCTT